CACCCGGCAGCTTGTGCCCCTCTGCCTCTGCCCACCGGAGCGCCGGCCGCCCGGCCGCCCGGGAGGAGAGGTGTTTGCCAGCGCTGCGTCCTGCGTCGGCGTTTGCGAAATTTTACCGCGCATTTTCTTGACTTGCAGTTTCCCCACAAGTGTGTACGGCGCCACGTGTCTTAACCCTGCGCCCAAGAGCTTGTCTTTATTGTTTCACGTTTTTCTCGGAAAGGAAAAGTTGGACCCTGTCGTTTCACGCAGATCTGAAAAGTCAAGGGGCTGGGGGTTCCCGGTGTCATTTGGTCGAGAAGGTTGAGTTCATTGTACGGAGCGTGGTTTGTACGGTTCGGGAGAGACGCTTTTGACCGAAAGTTCCTACTTAGAAGGGACGGCGAGAGCGTAGGATTGGGCGCCGGGGAAAGTGTCACGGTCTGGGTGACCGTCGGCGCCGGCCGCTTGTTTGCGGGAGGGGATGGCTGGCCGAGGTGATGGCCGCTATTTCAGCTGCCAGGTCACTTCTCCCTTCTCTCATTGGCTCCCAGGAAGACACCTTTCTCGAGTCATTAAAGCTTGCGGATCTCTGACAGTTTAGGGAAGGCTGATTTATTATTCACAACATTAATAATGTCCTGTTTTTATTATTAAGTAATGGTGGCATCTTACTATTCATCATGTTTCATGAGGAACATTAAGGGGCCAGGAGAGACAAAACTGAAGTTGCGGGGAAGGTGGGAAAATTTGTCATCTATCCTGTTCTTCCTTAGTTGGTTCCCAAAAAATGGTTTCAGTGCTGTGTACACTGGAGTGAAATGTTTCGGGGTAGAATTTGAGTGATTTTTTTTTTTTTTTTTAATTTTTGGTGCACCTCAATTTACTACTCAGGTATCTACCTACATTTGAAACTTGATCGTATTTTAGGGATATTGGGATAAAAGAATATTTTTCTTCTAGATGTCCCAAATGAAAAATAGACTTCTGTAAAGTATCACAAATATTACCACATTCTTTTTTTCTTCCGTTTTGAAATTTTACTTTTAAACAGGGTAGAAAGGTTCTTGTTCAGTGCAATTTTAAAATCACATAGTTTAGAAACAATTGGAGCTGGGTGTGGTGACTCACAGAACTTTCATACCTGCGTTAGAGAGAGGCCGAGGCAGGTGACTCTCTGAGTCCCAGGCCAGCCTTGTTTACCACATAAGACATTCCAAGATAGCCAGGGCTACAGTGTGACCTTGCTTCAAAACAGAATTGGAAGGCTAAAGTATAGTAATTTTTAGTGCACATGAAGTGGAGCAAGGTTTTCCAACAACTGTTCCAGCTTTGTGTGTGTAGCTTCTTGCAGATTTTTGTAACTGAAGCCAGATATGTGCCTTTTGTAGTGAATTACACTTGACGCCTTTTCAGAGACTGTATTGTATATATTCATTATTGACTGTAAATGGCCGTAGAAAGAAAGATTGTAGTGTCCACTGCTACTTTGGTTCTCAATCTCCCCCCCCCCCAACTAAGGGTTTCTCTGTGTAGTTTTGGTGCCTGTCCTGGATCTCGATTTGTAGACCAGGCTGGCCTCGAGCTCAGAGATTTGCTTGGCTCTGCCTCTCCAGTACTGGCATTAAAGGCGTGCGCCACCACTGCCCGGCTCATCCCTGTTTTTTTTTTTTTTTAAAAAACTTCTTATAATTAGAGACGGTTTTTGTGTAAATCTATTTATTTATTTACTTGTTTATTTATTTTTAATCGTTGTGTGTGTTTAAGGTCAGAGGGCACCCTTCAGAAGTTGAGTCCCGGGATCAAGCTCAGGTTGTCGGGCTTAGCAGCAAGTGCCTTTTACTCCCTGGGCCATCTCACCAGCCCTGGGTTTTTACTGAATTCTGTGACCTTATTGTACTCTATGTATGATTTTCCTAAATGGGTATTTTGTAATGTGGTCCTGAATGTGTACATTCTAAAGTAATAAGAATTTAGTAGTATATCTTAAAGAAAGTTAAACAGTGTAGCTTCATTTAATCCAGCACTTCTCAACTTGGGGGGTGCGACCTCTGGGGGTTCAAATGACCCTTTTTTTCATAGGGGTTGCATATCAGAGATCCTGCATACCAGATATTTACATTAGGATTCTTAGCAGTAGCAAAATTACAGTTATGAAGTAGTAAAATAATTTTACAGTTGGAGGTCACCACAGCATGAGGAATTGTATGTATTCAAGGGTCACAGCATTAGGAAGGTTGAGAACCACTAAGCAATAAACCTTAAGTGTCTACTGTCAGGCATTAGGTTTTTCAATATGATGTCCTGATTTGTACCACCCACTTGGTAAATTTTTCACAATTGTTAATTTTGTCACCTATACCTGATAACTATAGTCTGATAACTGAGGACTAATGAAGTCTTTTTTTTGTGTTTGATTAACAGATATAATTGGTGATTACAGCTGCCTTCTATAAGTTAATTCTCGTCAACTCCTTGCAATTTTAAAAGAAAAAGCCTGGTGTCATACCTAGTGAAAGTAATGGGCTTTCAAGAGGTAGTCCATCGAAGAAAAACAGACTTTCTTTGAAGTTTTTTCAGAAAAAGGAAACTAAAAGAGCTTTAGATTTCACCGATTCTCAAGAAAATGAAGAAAAAGCTTCTGAATATAGAGGATCTGAGATGTATGTATTTTATTTTAAATCTATTTCTGTACTTTATTCTGAATCAATGAAGGAACATTGAACTTGGGTTGATACTTCTGTACTGACCTGACAGTTCACACAGGTTAGAAGAAAATACTCGGGTTGGGGATTTAGCTCAACGGTAGAGTACTTGCCTAGCAAGCACAAGGCCCTGGGTTCTATCCTCAGCTCCAAAAAGCAAAAAAAACAAACTCATGAATTTGCATTTAATGAGATGAGAATTAACGTGTCCTTGTGGTTCCTCATAGGATCACATCCACAATGTGAACTTATTAGCATTAACATCGTGTTGGGAGTGATTGAGACTAACTTGGAATTATCGACTGAAACTATCAGTTTATGCTTGATATTTTGCAGAGCATTTTGTGTAACAACAGGGTTCTCTTTGATTTGGTTCAGAAGATTTGACAGTTACACTCCAAAACTACTCAGAAGCAGGACAGTTGCAAATTATATTGAAATTGGACTTTAAAAATGGCTTTCTAATTGCACATAAATTCTTTAGTCACTAAAAAAAAAGGAGAGAAGGAGTGCACATAAAGTACAAATGAGTCCAGTCATAATAGAGGCTATAAAGCTAATTATTTTGTATGGTGGGTAAGTGCACAGAAAATGTAATTGACGGGAGAAGGATGAAGCTCTGAGTAGAACTCCATCGCTTCATAATGGCTATCCTATAGGACTGGACAGGGTTTGAGTGGCCCCCTTAGTCTAGCTGCATGATGTTTTTATTTGAATTCATTACAATAGGCTTCTTTTTTTTTTTTTTTATTAAAAAATAAAGAGCAAAAGTGAATATTCCAAATTGCTGTAGCTGGAGTCTATCATTCAACAACTGGGCACTCTGTTGGGTAACTAAAGGAGATTTTATCCCATGTTTTCCCAGTGATTGTTTAGAGTTAGGTATATAGCTCAGGATCTCCTGGGTTCAATCCCAAAGATGGAAAAGAGATGACCTATATTTAAGTGAGGAGAAGCAGTGTAATTCTCCTCATAGACTTTCTTCTAAACCTTTATGAACAGGACTTTAGTATAATCTCCTTAAATAGTGTTGCTAATTATTAGCTCATACCCAGGTTTATATTCAGAATTAAACTGATTAAAATGTCACAGTAGGTGAAAGAAACCACCATATCAGTTCATTTACTTTTGTAGGATTAACATTCTCTTAAGGGAATTATTGTGAGGTTTGTGGAGTATAGTGATGTTTTAAAATCTCTAATGGGTATATATTTTGAATCTGTAATGGTTGCTCTTAAAAGTGTCACCTGATTGTTCATGTCATACCTCTATTGTAAAAAACCTAAATTTAGGGCAGTAGCATTTTCACTTTAAGATGCCACTTCTTTATATCTTTTCTTCCCTGTGTATTAATAGTGACCAAGTTGTTCCTGCGGCACAATCCTCACCAATAAACTGTGAGAAGAGAGAAAACCTGTTACCATTTGTGGGACTGAATAATCTTGGCAACACTTGCTATCTGAATAGTATTCTTCAGGTAAAATGAGGTCATGTTTAATGGTTCTGAAAATTTTAGATTATTGAATGGCTTTGCCTATACTTTGTTTACCTTTCAAACCAAATCAGGCTATAATAATACTCTAAACTGCACATTACTAAACTTCCTGTGGGCTAAGAAAAAAATAAAGGTGAGATATTAAAATTGGGTAGATTAAGATACCACAACATTTTTTTTTCTTTTTTTCTGCTTCATTCCTGGTGCTGTGTCCACTTAAAAACTTCTGTTATTTTGCATGCCCTTAAAATTTTCTGTTTGCTTTTTTTGTCCTTGTAATCTTAATCTTACTAATATAGCTACCTAGGTTCAGAGCTAAGAGCTACTGAGGGAAGAGTGGGTTAGAACTGATGGGGTAGAGAAAATAAGTTTTGATTAAGGGTGTTAATGTCTAAGTGTTAGGTGATAGACATTAAAATTGCCCTACAGAAGGCGTTAGTGATTCTAGGTGTATTGTTTGCTCAGTACTTAGATGCTATCCTTTTTGTAGGTGTTATACTTTTGTCCTGGCTTTAAGTCTGGAGTGAAGCACTTATTTAATATTATTTCAAGGAAGAAAGAAGCTCTGAAGGATGACTCTAATCAGAAAGATAAGGTAAAAAGATAAAAAAATTAATTTAAAAAGCAACATAAGTTAAGGGGAAGGTCATGTAGGTGGTGCACACCTTTTGTCCCAGCACTTGAGAGGCAAACACAGGTGGATCTCTGAGGCTGAGGCCAAGTCTGGTTTTGTCTCTAACATGATTTCTTGGCCAGACAGGGCTACACAGTGAGACCCTGTCAATAACAAAAACAACTCACACAAACAAGAAACTAATGGGAGGAGTTAAATTTATTTGTTAAATAAATACAAGGTTAATAGATTAATATTAATGTTAAATAAAAGGTAATAGATTCTTGAGAGCTCAGGACAGTGGTGGCAGATGATTTCTGTTGATTTATAAACAAGAATTAAGCTTTTCAGTATTGTATATTGTCAGTATTTTTCATTCTGATAAAAGAGTTTACCAGATTATTCAGTCTTGTATAGTTTTTTTTTTTCTGTTTCATTTTTATGCATTGGTTACTAGATCAGGGAAGTTCTACCACTGACCAATCCCCTAGCCTCAATTGCAAAGAAATATATTAAAAGAAAACTGATTAGAAAATTACTTTCCATTTAGAAAGCAACTGGGAAAAAACTCTGAAATGAAGAAAAAAGTTGACCTGTATGCTTAATAGAATTTTTGTTGTACTGAAATTAAAATTAGAAGAGCTACATTGTTCAGTGAGACTAAGAAGTAAAGAGGTACTTATTTAATTTTTTTTTTCCTTGATAGGGAAGCTGCAAAGAAGATCCTTTGGCAAGTTATGAGCTTATATGCAGTTTACAGTCCTTAATAATTTCAGTTGAACAGCTTCAGGCTAGTTTTCTCTTAAATCCGGAGAAATATACAGATGAACTTGCTACACAGCCAAGGCGACTGCTTAACACACTCAGGTATAGCCTCTCTAACCCAACTTTACAGTTCTTTATGTATGTTTCTGTCTTTAGATGAGAGTGATATAGGAATAAATAGGAATAAATGGCAAGAAAAGTGAAGCTCAAGGCTCACGGCCTTTTATATCCCAGAGGTTTTGAAAATTAATTTTTAAATATAAATGATACTAAATTAGATCAAATTTATATTAGCCTATTTATATTCTTTACTCATAGTTCTTCCTGATATGAATTAGTAAATTTTCTGTCAAGACTGATGTGTGATTAACGGGTACTGCCCCATATGTTGATGATTCATACTTTTATTTTTGTGTTATATTACACTCCTTAAAAAAAAAATACAGGTATATGGACTCCACACCAAATCAGTCTCTGGTAGTAAAGCCCAGATATCACTAGATTACTCATTTTTGTGGTACTGAGGATTGAACCCAGGCCTTGTACATGCTAGAGCACATACTCTATCATTGACCTGTAGACCCATATTGCCATTTGAAAGTGAAAATACCAGAATTCTTGAACACATGTGGTCCCAAGGATTTCAGATTAGAAATTGCAGGCCTGTATACAGAACGTGTCAATGTGTAAAAACTCCAAGTTCCAAACACACACATACATATATGTATAGTAACATTGAAAAAAATTCATAATGAGAACTTACAAAAAAAGTCTTTTAGTTTTTGAATAGATATACGCACAGGACATTTATTTACCTTTGTTAAGAGGCATTATAAAAAGGTGGCCAAGAGCTGATTCTGGACCCTCAGTTTGCATCTTTTATGACTATTAGGCAAGTTTTTTAACCTCATGGCATCTGTCAGTAGTAACTAGTAATAGCAGTTACTGTGAGGGACACAAACAGCATTTTTAATAAAACCTGGTATATGGTAAAAAAAAACATAATATTTAGAAGAGGGTCACGGTATTGAAAGTAAAAAATACAGTAAAATTGTTTTTTACTTTTAACTAAATTTAGGTAAGAGGTTTCAAATTAGAATACTTAATATTTAAAATAGAAAAATTTTATGTTACTATACAAAAGTGGAATTAGCTAAAAATGAATACTTCTATTCATAGGGAACTCAACCCTATGTATGAAGGATATCTACAGCATGATGCACAGGAAGTGCTACAGTGTATTCTGGGAAACATTCAAGAAACATGTCAACT